GGAGAAGTTTTTAGGATCATCAAAATGACATGGGCCAGCCACTGGCTCTGCCTGGCCGGCAGAGCAGCACAAACCTCAACCCACGAGTTAAAATCAGGGATTCAGAGCAGCACACACACATGCAGGAGAAGTACCTTCTTTTCCCCGCTTTGAAACTTTCCCAGATCACCTTTCCTCACGCCTCTTTTCTCTGTTTTACCTCCCTGCACAATAGCCATTAGCTCCTGACACAACTGGTTGTCCTCAGAGGAACCCACAGGTCTCTTTTCTGGGCTCACACGCATGTCTAGTTGGGATGGTTTCAGGCAGCGCTCGACAGAGACCTTGGGAGCAGCATGAGCACCCTGCTCGGGGTTGCTGCTGCCCTCTCTAGTCTTTTGGAGCCAGGCTCGGCTGCCAGTGGTGTCACGCTGCTCTGTGAGGACGCTTTCGGGGCTCTCCACTGCCCAGCGAGGGGAGTTAGAGTAGCTCACGCTGGGAGAAGGGGAGCCAACAAACTTTTCTTCACTTTGCGGAGTGGCCTGATAGAAACTGTGAGCAGAGGACTGAGGTCTGGATGAGTAAGAGGGCAATGGGGATTTAATGGACCTGGGAGTCGAGGAGCCAGAGAGATGAGAATGGTGGAGGCTGACCGTGGGGGAAGGGCTGGCTGCAGCAGAAGGCGAGAGATAGTCAGTGTGAGAGAGGGAGGCTTCAGGCGGAGGAGGCAATGGAGGAGTTATGGCAGGAGTGGTGCTAGGAGACACTCCCACGGTCAGAGCAATCCACTCAGATGTGACCGCCTGCACCTCTGGAGATAAGGCGCGGCGCACGAAAGGCAAAGGCGGAGGAGTTGGTGTATGGAGCAGCTCAGAGCTGGGAGACTTGAAGGAGACAAAAGCAGGAGAGAAAAAGAAAGAAATGAACAAAAAAATAATAAAGGAAATACAAAACAACTGAGCAAAAGTAAAAGGAGAGCGAGCGAGTGTGGAGAGGAGCAGATCTGTGACCAAGCATGGTGCATAAGTTTTCCACGGACAGGTGCACCATGTTGGAGAACGTGCTGTCCACAGCTACTCCAACCATGGAGCTGAGTCCGTATCTGTGCTGCCAATACCCTTCTCCAGCCTTTGCCAGGATCCCAGACACAAAATGCCTTGTGGAAGACAGGCTTCATACCATATGCCCTAAGTCCCTCAGGGAGCAGTTGAAGCCACCATCCATGATGGCAGCATGCAGGATTTGACTGGCCTGGCAGTAATAGCTGGGGCCCCAGCAACTCGCACTGTGGACCCAGCCAAAATTCACTGCTGCAATTCATTCTGACTTTATCCAGCTGTAGCATGAGCAATGCCTGCTCCTCAAGAAACTCGCATTGCTGAAGCTGTGGAGGAGAAAGGGATCAAAAAAGCCAGCTGTGGCTATTTGGCCTTTAGGTGATTAAAGTAGGTCCTGTGTTTATAAAGGCAGAACACACGACTGAGTTCTGCCCTTGGCTATTATGACCAGCGACGTCCGTGAAATCAGTTACATTAGCACTGATCAGAACGTTTCTCAGTCCTCTGCCAAGTCAGGCAAAAAAGTAAGGGCGATAATTGATTTACTAGGGGAAGAATCAAAAGAATAGCAAAGGAAACCAAATAAGGGTGGATACAATCCCTTCCATCAAAGGGAGAAGCTTGCAGAGAGCTGGTGGCAGACAGGCCACAGCTATGGAGAGACTGCCAAGCTCAAACAGAAAAGCTCAGCTGAGGTCCACATTGACAGGGAACCCCAAACAGGCAACAAGTCTTTCCTCTTTACACGGTGGCTAAGAATAAAAACACTCCTATTAGGGAAGATCCAGACAGACACCAGGCATGAACCATGGCAGCCTTTCCCATCCATCCCGTACCATATATCCCTTCCTCCCGATCCAAAATCTCCACTTTTGTTCCTGGCAGTCTTGACCTCAGAATGACCTTGCTTCAGTCCCGTGGGTTAGAGGGGGATGCACCAGAACCTCAGGGCCATGACCCAGACATGTGTGCTGACCTTCAAGCATGAGTATTTGCAGGATGAGAGCAAAGGGATTTAGAGACTCACTGCCTCCCTGATGTCTTCCATAGCAAACATTCTGGGATCCCCATATGATTACCTGCTGCCATTTTGATTTCTGGTTTGAACTGCAGTATGGTTTATAGTGAATCTAATATTCATGGAAGGTCCCAAACTGGCCTGCTCTCAAAACCTGAGTTCATTTAGCACCAATTTCAAATAATACAGGCCGCTCTCCTGACCCCGTCTCCCAAAACCTTGGTTGTGAGCTGGAACAATCAGGAGTAAGTATACAGCTTCATTCAAGCTGACTGGGATCAACATAATGACTCCTACGGTCTGTAACAGTCTGTGACGCCCTTTTAATAGTCATAATAAAAAATTCACTCATCACAGCGGAGGTCTGTAAAGTGTAAACACGCACTCAGGAGGAGCTGGATCACCAATTCATTCTATCTCTAGCAGTGAAATGTATTCAGATGGCTGTGAACTGTGGCCCTTTCAACCTGGCCTGAATTCAAGCTACAGATCAGAGATGAAAAGCTGAGTCTCCAAATCCCCAAATGACCCCTTCATTAACCTTTCTGGTAAATGAAACATCACCTTTTCCTGCAGTTGCAGCATACTGCACGGAGCACATGGCTTTTACTGCGCAAAACACTAGCCTTAGCTACAGCTTTTTTCAGGTATTGTTTCTTGCATGGCAATGGCAACATCCCTCTGTTCTGCAAGGTACTGTAACTGGCTGCATCTCGTCCAAATACCTGTGGTGAAGCTGTCATGCTGCGGTTAGGGGAGAGGGACATTGGTGGGTCAGGATAGTCGATGGCATTCTTGACCACTGGCCGTTTGAGCACCTCCACATAAGTGACCGGGAAGATGCCTTGGCGATTGGTGCCAGAGATCTTTCCTTCATACCAATTCTCATCCACTCGTCGAATCAACGTGATCCTTTCACCCTACAGGAAGGAACAGTAATGTAGTCCTGACTTTAACATACTTCATCATTCCAAAGCAGATTACATCTTTAATCTTGCTGCAGCTGACTTAAAACAATTGGTGGCTCTCAGCCTCCCCTGTTTCCCAGTTGTGTGGTCCTAACCCTAACCTCTGGTGGGAATGATATTTTTCAGTTCAGAGGAGGAAATGCAGATCTTCTGGTGCTGACTTGGGCTGTCCACAGGCTCAGTTATGCTCACATTTTCAAGACCCTACTTGCTAAAGCCAGTTAAAAAAAACATAAACCAGCAGTTTCAGGCTGACCACGAGACTCTCGGGGGTATGAGGTGTACAGGGAGTATGCACAGGTCTGCAGTTTAAACTAGGTCTCTCTATGCTCTGTTTTGCTGACAAATGAAGTGACTTCCAGATCCTTAATATAAACTGCAAGCCCTGCCTTCATGTATAATTAAAAGAGAAGACAGGTAAGATCTAACCTGAGCATCAAAACAGAAAGCTGTTTGAGATGGAGAAATGCTGCTACTAAACCTAAATATGGCTGACTTTGCTCTGAACAGCCATTACACAACCCATTCCTATCCCTTCACTCTGCAGTCAGGTCTTTCCAGTCACCAATACCACAGAATCTTGCTTGCCTGTGCTAAATGATTTGGCTTGCAGTATGAAGGAAGGCAAACTCAGTTTCCTTCTTTTCTATATCGCCATTCTCATGTGACTGTGTGCATCTCCACTGGAGAGGATCAGAGTGGAGACATGTCACCAAATATCTAACTTGCCTTGAAGAGTGTCCTGGTTTCAGCTGGGATAGAGTTAATTTTCTTCCTAGTAGCTGGCATAATGCTGGTTTTTGGATTTAGTATGAGAATAATGCTGATAACACACTGATGTTTTAGTTGTTGCTAAGTACTGCTTATGCTAGTCAAGGACTTTTCAGCTTCCCATGCTCTGCCAGGTGCACAAGAAGCTGGGGGGGCGGGGGGACAACACATGACACACAGCCAGAATAGTTGATCCAAACTGACCAAAGGGCTGT